AGTTTTATCTTCAGTATCTGGCCTTCAAAAGAGCTGTCAGGGTTGATCTCCTCTAGGACTGACCGGTTTGATTGCCTTGCGGTCCAAGGGACGCACAGGAGTCTCCTCCAGCACCACAATTCAAATGCCTCAGTCCTTTGGCGCTCAGCCTTCCTTATGGTCCAGCTTTCACAGCCATACATTGCACTGGGAAAACCATAGCCTTGACTATACGCACTTTATTTGGCAGGGTGATGTCTCTGCTTTTTAGTATGGTGTCTAGATTTGCCATAGCTTTCCTCTCCAGGAGCAAGCATCCTTTAATTTCTTGGCTGCAGTCCCCGTCTGCAGTGATCTTGGAGCCCAGGAAAATAAACTCTGTCACTACCTCCATTTCTTCCCCATCTATTTGTGAGGAAGTGAGAGGACTGGATGTCATGATCTTAGTTTTGAATTGGGCCCGGACTTCAATGGGAAGCCAGTGAAGCTGATGGAGGACTGGGGTTATATGAGAAAAATGCCCAGTCCCCATCAGCAACCTAGTAGCTCTATTTTGCACCAATTGAAGTATCCAAACCGTCTTCAAGGGCAGCTAGGGAATCTCTAGTCCCCCTGTGAGTCCTGGCATATGGCCTGCTCCTCCTCCTCGAACAAGACTTGTTCACTCGCGGGAGTCCTGCTCCTTTCCCCGTGTTCTGACAGTACCTAATTCCTTAACAGAACCTCCTCTTGCCTCCACAGACCCTTCGCAGCACCATGTCGTGCGGTACTATTGCCCAACATATCAAGCGAGAAGAGTGTTTCTGGCCCCCCTTGGAGCTTCCCTTGGCACATAGATCAGCGGTGACAAACCCAAACCCAGGTAGCCGTGCAGGAGAAGGAGGTCCTGCTGCCACGGAGACCAGGAGCAGAGGCAGCTTCCGGGGAAGGATGGTGCAGAAGGTCTTCCTTGAAGATGCAGCAAGCTCAGACATACCACGCCAGTGTTTCAGGCGGCTCCGCTACCAGGCTGCTGAGGGGCCCCGAGAGTCTTGCAATCAACTCCACCGACTTTCCCGGGAGTGGCTGAGGCCAGAGCAACACACCAAAAACCAAATCCTGGACCTGGTGGTCCTGGAGCAGTTCCTGGCCATCCTGCCAGTGGAGATGGCAAACTGGGTGAGGGAGTGTGGAGCAGAGAGCAGTTCCCAGGCAGTGGCCCTGGCGGAGGGCTTCCTCCTGAGCCAGTCAGTGGAGAACAAATTGGAGGAGGAGCAGGTGAGAATATAGGTCACGTGCTTGAGGATGCGAGAGAAGATATGTCCAAACTTTCTGGGAATCTGAGGTGAAATCCCCCTATCTCATTTCCAATATTTTTGCATCTCTCCCGCCTTTTCTAATTCTTCTCCTCATTCCATGTCTTGGATTTATGCCGCTATTCCAGGTGAAGAATCTGTTTGTAGAAGCGGGACCTGATTCCCTGCAGCAGAGAGAGCTGTCTCAGGCACCGAACTGCGTCCACCAGAAACCGAGATCAAGCGGGAGCGATAAGGGTGCCTCTCCCTTCAGGGTAAAGATTACTGCGGTGGTGACCTTTCCAATCGCCAGTTCAGTGTGCATGTGTGGCTTTTGTGGGGCAGAATCTGGTCCCTGCTTTTCCGCTATTTGAATCTATATCTCATTTTGTACCAGGAGGGACTGCATACATTCCTTTTTTTATATAAGTTTTATTTGAAGTATAATCCTAAAAAACAACAAACAGCAAACAACATCCATCATGAAAACCATCAAGCCCACTGGGTCAGCCCCCACATCCTTCTTTTTCATTCATAATAACTTTAAAAACGTATTTAAATCAATGCAAAATCCCATTTCTCCAGCCAATAATAAAAAGAGTCCCAAGTTAGAGGTCAGTATCTTCCTTCTCCTTCAATGGTAAAGTCAATCTGTCCATTTCTGCACAGTCCAGAATTTTTATTTTTTTTTAGAAACAGTTCATCGATGGGTAGTTCTTCACTTTTCCAATACTGAGTGAATGCAATCATCACCACCGTAATTACATGTAAAATCAAATACATTTATGTATTTTAATCCAATACTTTTTCATATTATCACAAGTCCATCACATGTAGTAAAAGTACCCAATTTATGTTTACACGTCCAACATCCATTTAACATATATGGAAACTTCTTAGCTAATTTATTTGGCAAGAGAGACCATTTATAAAACATTTAGTATAAGTTTTCTTTATATAGAGTTGCTAATATTACCTTGCTATTTCTCTCCCACACATTTTACCACATTTCTAATTCAATATTATATCCAAAATGTTGTGCCCACATTATCATAGTTTCCTTAATCTATTTGTCTCCCATTTTCCTATTTAGTCAAGCGCTTCACCGCCGGAACAGCGAGACGGCCTGGTGCGGCATGAAGGGATTCTGGGGCGGCAAAAGCCCAGGAGGCTCCGTGCCATTGCAGCCTTCCTGCCTCCACCTTCTGGCAGGGCTCAGTGGAGCTTATTTTTGGGGCTTATTCTAGTCGTGTGAGGGGAAGAAAGTGTGGGTGTGATGAGGTCACCTTTTGTATTCTTTGCTTCTGAGTCCAGTTTGTGTTTACGAAATGGTATTTGCTGTTCTCTTCCGTGGGGATGGGAGGCTCCTCTTCATAAGGAGAGTTCCCAGTGGTAAACGCCAGAGTGGGCTCAACAACCTGCTCTGTGCATGCTCAGAGATCCATTCTGGGTTGTTTGTACTCATTTATTTATTCTTAATCCATGTACAAAAATATTTGTTAATTAAATGCAAAATGCAATGATAAGGCTTCTCCACAGTGTGAATTCTTTGATGGCGAGTGAGGGTTCTCTTCTGACTGAAGCTCTTTGCACACACCAAAAAATATGACTTCTCCCCAGTGTGAATTCTTTGATGAGAAGTGAGATGTGCCTTCCAAACAAAGCTCTTAGCACACTCCAAACATTGATATGGCTTCTCCCCAGTGTGAATTCTTTGATGAGAGATCAGCTTTGTCTTCTCAGTGAAGTACTTTCCACACCCCAGTCATGTATCTGATTTATCTTGTGTTTGAAGTTTGCTGTGCGCTTTATTGTTTGATTGAGAACCGCATATTCTTTTGTGCACATGGACTGTGTTCTTTTCTTGTCCAGTGTGTACCTCTTCTTGGATTGTGTCATGACAGCCACTGCCCTGCAGAACAAGGCAATCATTCCTCCCATTGTGATTACCTTCAGTCTTCCTTCTTTGCTGGTCACTATTTTTCCATCTGTGTCTTTCCAGTGACATCCCATGTAGTTCTCTCTTATTCTCCTCTTCCCACCTGTCACCTCCTGGAACGAGAGCAAGAATTCGGAAGAAGCCCATGTTAGCAGCAGAAGTTCAAATAGAGCACACTTAGTACTGACTGCAATGAAGGAAAGAATCAAAAGGACTTTGATAGGATGCTGCTCTTAGAATGGGCTGAACGGCATTAATGGAATCTCTGCGTTGCACAACAAATATTGCTGGGACTGTGTAGACCCAGGATCAACCTCCTAGAAGGAAACACAGATACTAGTTTAGCATATAAGGGGCCTTTTATCAGGCTGCTTAGTAGAATTTAAAGAAGTTTGGAAGGGTAGCAAGCAGGAGCAGGGCCTTTTCACAGTGGCACCGATCTCAGGAACACACTCCCCAGGGAGATAAGCCTGGTGCCCTCCTTAGCTACCTTTCAGCACCAGGTGAAAACCATTTTATTTTCAAGTTATATTAATTCTCAGATCTCTAATCATGTTTTGAATATTGAGTATTATCTGCTGCTCTGTCTTAGGATGGATGGAGTTATTTATTTATTTATTTCCATTTGTATGCGGCCTACGATCCATTGGCTCTCTGGCTACTTATAACATGTTAAAATCTAACAACATAGAAGAGTACAAACAAAATATGACATTTAGTACAAGACAAACTAATATTGTAATAACAATATCCATAAATAAACAGAATTAATACCGCAAAATTCACCTGTAGAAATAACAGCTGTTTTCAGTTGCGCTTAAAAGCCAAAAGAGTTGGTGCCAACCAGACCTCAGGCCGGATCGTA